AATTATTGCGCTGATTTTTGGTAAAGGAGCTTGATGGTTTTGGGTTTGGTATGTAGGTTCAAAGCCTGGAACGTCACCAGTGTTCAACATCTCAAGTGGTGCTCCAGCTCGGAAAGCAGCTGCTCCTGATGATTTTCTCAATTCTGAAGGCGATAAAAATGACTATGAATGGTAACTTTTTAACCACAATTTTAGTTCAAGATAAGATTTTTACATGTTGGTGTATCAGCCTGTGAATATAATCATGAGTGATTATTTGAATGTCCTTTTGGCATCTTAAGTGCGAAGGGTTTTAAGCAATCTTTTGTGATAGTATCCGTTAGAGAGTTTCTATATTCTAACCATGAGGCTCTTGAATAGTATTGTTGTTAATTGTCTAGATAAGGCATGTGTTGAATCCAGTAGACACGAATTTGGCATTGGAATATGAGGTTTGTGAGTCTTTGCATATCTAAGATAAGTGTTCATGTTGTTTGCAAATGATGCTGAGAAAAGGTTGTGGAAAATAATATCGTTCATCTGTTTAACTTTTCCACACTAAGTTTCTTTTGTCTTTCGAGGCTTCTGACCCCTCCAGGTACTCCTCTATTTCCATCGCTGGAGATGGAATCACATAGGAACACGATGAGTCAGACAGGTGATTCAAAGAGTCGTCCGGCTACATTGACTTCTAGGGTAAGAATGTTCTGATCTCTCTTATCAAACTAGATAAGCAGCCAAAGTAGTGCAACCAGTGTTTAAACCAAGCTTCGGTGATATATTGGTTTTATATGTTTTGGACGGTTAAACCTGCCATGCATCAGTCCAATGTTGTCAGATTCTTTTACATCTCAAGTTTATATTTTCATATTTAGTGTCAGATTCTTGTATGTTGCACGCTTAAATTGAACAAATAAGTTCCATTGTTATCTCTGAACTTTGTCTATATTTGGAATCATTACTTCATTACGATAACCTTTAAATTGTCTCTGTCGTAGCTGGCGAACTCCTCAACAGAGTCTGCTTCAATGAACCATCTAACATCTAGACAAGCAACTTCTTCTCCTGGATTGAGCTCTTCTAGTGGAGCAAGTCGAAGACCTTCGTCATCTGGAGGACCTGGATCAAGACCCGCCACGCCCACTGGAAGATCATCAACACTAACAAACAATTCAAAATCCTCAAGGCCTTCAACACCCACTTCGCGAGCCACCGTCTCCTCAACTACTCGTCCTTCTCTGACTAACTCTAGGTCCACAGCATCTGCAACGACTAAGCCTACGCCTATGAGTAGGTCAGCAAGTTCATCTAGGCTCACACCTACTGCATCTAAACCAACTATTTCAACTGCTAGATCTGCTGGTTCAGCTACTAGATCTACCACCAGTACCGCCACAAAATCTGCAGGTCCTTCAAGGTCTACCACACCTCTGTCAAGATCCACTGCCAGATCTTCGACACCAACTTCAAGACCCACTCTTCCTCCGCTTAAAACCATATCGAGGTCAGCTACACCAACTCGCCGCCCAATTTCTTCCGCTAGTGCTGTAACTACTACAGCAAAGCCAACAATATCCCAAATCAAGCCTTCTTCTCCAGCGGCGAAGCCTATGCCAACACCATCTAAAACTCCTGTATCACGTGGAGCTTCTCCTACAGTGAGGTCAAGGCCATGGAAGCCATCAGACATGCCTGGTTTCTCTCTAGAAACTCCTCCAAATCTAAGGACAACATTACCCGAAAGGCCACTTTCAGCAACAAGAGGTAGACCCGGAGCTCCAAGCCCTCGTTCTGGTTCAGTTGAACCAGGTGGTCCGACCGGAGGAAGACCAAGAAGGCAGTCATGTTCACCATCAAGAGGAAGAGCACCAATGTACTCTAGTGGCAGCTCTGTTCCTGCGGTCAACCGTGGATACTCCAAAGCAAATGACAATATTAGTCCTGTGTTGATGGGAACAAAAATGGTGGAGAGAGTAATAAACATGCGGAAACTAGCTCCTCCCAGATCGGATGACAACAAGGGTTCTCCTCATGGTAACTTGTCTGCAAAATCCTCTTCACCAGACAGTGCAGGATTTGGAAGATCACTCTCCAAGAAATCACTTGATATGGCAATAAGGCATATGGTGCGTAATCTCTCTCTCTTTCTCGCGTCCTTGTTACTGGGAATTGTGTGTATAACTGATGATCAAACATTATGATGAAAACAGGATATACGTAGAACCATACCAGGGAACCTGAGACCACTGATGACGAACATTCCAGCATCATCAATGTACAGTGTGAGATCTGGACATACAAGAGGCAGACCAATGAATGTTACAGATTCTCCACTAGCAACAAGTAGCAATGCAAGCTCAGAGATCAGTGTCTGCAACAACAACAATGGCATTTGCTTAGAGGCAAGCGAAAAAGAAGATGACGCAGGCAGCGAAAGAGGTTGCAGGTCACCTGCAAGCTTACAAGGAAGGTGATATGCCCAAAGAAGAAGCCTATTTGTAAAACGTTGACCTTTGAGATTCTCTCGTTGTGTTTATTATTGTGTTTCTTTTCACACGAGTTTGATGATGATATGTGAAGTAGCGTTTTGACGTTTTATGTAAACCTCTCCACTCTCGTCTCTACTTTTTTTAACCCTAAAGTCGCCCTCTATGGTCGATGGATCCATTGATTAACCGATTGATTTGAGATGTTAACCACTTTTCAATGGTTTCTGATTGAATTCAAACATAAAAGTAAAATCAAATATGACATAATTATATGTTAATAACACACATGACCCACTACAATCTCTCATGCTGTTATATAGTTATAACACGGTTATAACACACATAATGAAATGCAAAGACCAAATCACATAAGATAACGAAAGAGGGGTTTAAGCAGCAGCAACCGCCTCAGTGGGCTTAGATTCAGGAACATTCTTTGGAGTAGGAGCAGCGGCATCCGATGGAGGTTGAGAAGTGAGTTTCAGGTGAGAAGGCGGGTTTTGTTTGAGCTTGAGCAATATTTGTCTCATTCTTGAAAGATCGGTTGGCTTGCCGGGCTTTGGACCTTGAATCACTGAGATTGATGGCTTCTTCGGGTCTTGCTCTTTCTTCCCTCCTCTTCTTTTCTCTATTGTTGGAACCTCTTTTGGAACTAGCTCGGCTATTGCCTTCCAGTAGTTCTTGCTGGCTTCCGCATAGAACTTCTCTTGGGTCTCCAGATACAGCTTAAGTGCGCAAAGACAATACAAACGTGTGACCAAAAGTTTAAGAAACAATATGCAGCTGAAATAGCCAGTAAAGCTCACTAACAATGAAGTCATAAATAATCTTGTCACAATTGACTAAGAATAAGATGGAGAACAGATGATCAAACTAACAAACTTCAGCGAAATCTTCAATTGTCTTAATCGTACGAGAGAACTAATGATATGGAAAATAAACAAGAACAAACCTTTTCCTTCTCTCTGTTAGCTGCTTTGTTGTTTTCACAAGTTACTTCCCTCTTCTTATGGAACTCCTCTTTGTATTGATTTGCTTCCTCAATGATTTGCTTCAACACTTCCTTTTCTTTCTTCTCCTTCTCCTCAAGCTGAATCGCATTTTGTCTGCACGTAATATAAGAACTCAGACCAAGACCAATCACTCACAAGAACACATTGATCGAGTAGCTCTATACATCGGATCAACTTAACAAACGTTACAAGCTACCGATTAACAGGCAAATTTGTACATGAAAATGTACAAACCAAAGTAACAAAACCAAAAGCAATAAAACTTTGAATGGAATACATAGCCAGCCACAGATCCTGTCAATATAACCTCAGATCCGATCTAATACACTGATTACTTCTTACAACATTGAGACACTAAAGGACTTCATAAACAAGGATTCGAGCAGATTAGCATCAAAACTTAGAAAATTATGCATTTTTGAATCAAAAATGAAATTTTTCTAGATCAATCAATAGATTCGTAGTTTTCTCGACTAAAGTTATCAACTTTCTCAATCAGAAGCGAAACGAGAACAAGATCAGATCTCTAACCTTCTCCATTCTCTAAGAGCAAATCCTTCATCAGATTCCATTTCAGACGGTGGTGGTAAGATAGGACCGTCGTGACCACCGTTAGATCCGAAGACATCGTCTCCGTTAGAGTAACCACCGTAGTCAGGAGACGGCGCCGCAAAAACATCGTTGACGGAGTCATCGATTTGGACTGAACCATCGTAGCCTGAGAAAGAGTTGTCAGTGGTTTCAAATGAGCCTGAGACAGGAACAGACTCAGATGCATCATCTCCGAGTATAACGAAGGAATCTTCAAAGACAGACATCTCTGGAAAATAAAGCAAAGTTTTCCACTCACGAATCTGTCTTTTCAATTTCTCAGAAGCTTGAAAATGGATGGTGAAATGAAATCGTAACGGAGATTAAACCAAA